CCTTCAAAGAGACGGTGCGCCAGGCGATTGCTCGTGCGGCCTCGGGCACCCTCCTTCATGTGCGCCTTGGCGGACTCGTACTGCAGAGCCTCCGCAACCTGAAGGCCGCCACCAGGACAGCCGTGGTTGCCGCCACCACGTGTTGCCGCCGCCGCCACCATACCGCCGCATTACCCCAATTGCCGCCAATACCGCCAGAACGCCAACAACACACCGTGGCCACCATTACAACCATTATGGCATCGCGTCGCCGTTTCATCACCACCGCCCGGAGACCACCAGGAGCGGGACCAGAGGGGCGGTAGCGGAGAACAGCAAAACGCCGCAAAGGACGTGATGGGCGCACGGAAGAGGAGAGGAGAGGAAAGGAGAAAGGAGAGGTGAGGAGAGAGGAGAAGTGAGGAGAGAAAGGAGAGGTGAGGTGAGGAGAGGTGAGGAGAGAGGAGAGGTGAGGAAAGGGGAGAGGAAAGGGGAGAGGAAAGGGGAGAGGAAAGGGGAGAGGAGAGAGGAGAGGAAGATGTCATTGCACACACGCATCACACACCACAGCAGACAGGAGGTCCTCACCTCCACCTACCATCTGGCTTTCTACGCATCCTACGAGGTGAAAGACTCCTGCTCCTGGTTTGTTTGGTCACATGTTGAATCCTAACTTGGCTTCTCCGCTTCTTAATTCTTTTTCCGATACTTCCTATCTCAGATATCCCATCACACCCCCTCACCTCCCGCTTATCAAGCTTGCCCTTCCTGGCCGAGTTGAAGTGTGTGAACGCCAGCTCCAGGCAGGACAGCATGGTGCGCACATCGGGGTGCAACGGCACGGAGGCAGCAGCAGCGGCGTCGGCGGCAACGGTGGCAGCGGTTGCGTCGGCCGGGTCAGAATCGGTCCGCTTGGTTTCGGAACACGAGGCGGCGGAGGCGGGCTCCGTCAGGTGCACCACCAGCAGCAACATGACCAGACCGATGAAGTCGATCTGAAGAAGGGGGAGGTAGGGGGAAGACGAACCACGAGCGAGTAAAGCTGATGACAAGGATAGAGTGATAGGGGGGTATAAGGGGGGAGATGTCAGGGATAGGAGATAAGATGAATCACTGGCGAAATGAAGCACAGATACCAGAGATAGAGGGGGCAGTGGGTTCATGGGACAGTGCGACAGTGGGTCAGATGCACACCATTCTGGAATAACTCGGTAGGTTGCGTATCGACTGTGTTAAGACTTGAGAGGATGCGTGCTAAGACTTGAGGAAAGTGGGCCGGGGCTGCCTCTCCCAGGAAGCGATAATTGCAATGGTAAAAAAACCCAAAAATTGATCATCTGGCTCCGAAACCAACCGAAACCGTGACTTTTGTTCCGGCTCCGGAGCCGTTGTGCCTTATGCACATGAAGGCCCCCTTCCCTGCTTTCGCCCAGCTACTCTCGCGCAACTCGTTCACTCACATCGGTACATTTGTGCGTTGCGGCTTTGCTGCACAGCTCCCGGACCATGACCGAGCCCTCCTCGATGCCGAAGTCCCGGGGAGCGGATTGCAGCACCGCCAGCGGCAGTGGACCCTCCCGGCTACCTGTCCGCGCCTCCAGCTGCCGCCGCAGCACCTCAAAACCCGCCTCCAGCTTGGGAAACTGAAGCCAGAACTGCGTGAATACGTGGGGCTTGGCTTCGCCCTGGCAGGGCGGCCGAAAAGGGGCAATGGGCGGAGCAGGGCACGGTATTCGTCCGCATGGGCGGAGCGGGCATAAGGATTGCAGGGATGCTGCAATGGGGGTTGGAGTCGGGACGGGGTGACGGGGGGGGAGGACGGATGGGTGCAAGGGGAGGAGGGCGGACAGGGGTTGGGGTTAGACGGAGGCGAAGATTGAGGGACCAAATGGTCTGCGGACTGCGGAAAGTGTCTGAAAGACTTGAATGTCTCTGAGCAGGAGCATTGCGCCTGTGGGAGGTGCAGGGGATGCAGACAGGAGGGGAAGTGAGAGATTGCTTTCGCAGTAGCGCGTTAGAGGGGGACTTATCTAACCATGTTCACCACAGGCGTCGCTCATAGCATCTACGTCTGCTGGAAATGTTCGCTCAAGGAGCGAAATGCCCAACAGCGCGCTTCGAAGGCGCACGGCGATGCCGGGTTACGTAGCAAGGGAGTCAAAAGGACCAAAGCCGCGCTCGTGGAAACCACACCTTGTCAATTTTATCTTGAACAAATGCTGCTATCGCGTCTCGGATGTGCGACTCCAGAAAGCCAAAGGACACACTGGCCGAACGCGCCTTCCCCTTGCTGCTTTGCTTAGAGAGCGTGCGCGTGTGAGAGTCATTCCGCCGTGGTGCATCGCCAGCATTTGTCAGCGTCACCAGACCCTCTTTGAAACTTTCTTTAAGACGGTGAAGGAACGCCATCGCGCCGCTTTCGGGGGACTAGGGCTCAAAATAGGATGCTTGCGTTCGTTCGACTTGGCATTGGAAATGCTGTTTCCCCAATAAATAAGACAGGCCGGCTTGTAAATCTTGCGAGCGGTCAACTCCAAACGCAGACAGTCAAGTGGCAGAATGCATTTAGAATGAAACACTACAGAGGCAGTTGTGAAAGGATGCGTGCACATTACCGCAAGTTGAGCCTCGGTGCGGCTTTGCTGTCGTCTTTCCCGTACAGACCATCCGTTAGTAACGATATCGGCTGGACCCTCGCCTCGACCCTCAAGCCCTCAATACGCCACGTAATGAATAACTCTAAACCTTCGTTGTGTCGCTCGCAACGGCTTTGCCACCGCTGCTCTCCCGGGTCCGAGCGCTGTAAAGCTTCCGAAGCTTTCCGAGAAGCACGGGGCCAGCGTTTTCCCGGCACGGTAGGAACCATATTTAAAATTTCTCGGAACCAAACGTGACATTCCAGTCCTCAGCTTTCCTGTGCTGGCCTTTCCCAGGGGCTTCGCGGTCCCATCCAAGAAACACTTCGCAACCAATTGCTTCCTGATCCTGGCCCTTGGACTAAGCTCCCGCTCCCTGCATGTCAAGAAGCAGCGACGTGGCCCTGCTTCAGGTAGAGACGCGGGGCCTACATACAGCAGCCCCAATCAGCGACCATGCTGCGTCTCTCTCGCCTAGCGCTCCCCTGGCGTCCGCGTCAGCAGCAGGGGCATTGTTATCAGCAGCATCGGCGACTGCTTTAGCAGGAGCAACAAGAAAGTCCTGCTGGGCGGCTTTCGGGCTAGCGGCCAAATGGTCATTGCACCGGCTACACCATACAGCGCTCGCTGCTGCTGCCCCAAATGCCGTTATGACAGCTGTCAGCACTTCGTACACCACCTCCGTCTGCAGCATCTTGGGACGCAGCTCAGGGATTAATCCAGTCGCACGGCATCGAATGCATTTCCGTACGTTATTGTACGGTAGTTCCGGCGGCCGCGCGACCGCGGGGCAGCTTCCACGGGCATCGTCGTCGTCGGTGGCGGCGGCATTTGCGCCAGGGACGTTCTCAAGTCCCTTCACGGGCCCGACGGCGACGGCGACGGGGCTGTTGGTGACGGGACCCAGACGGCTACTGCGGGCGGCGCCGCCGCTGGGCGCCGCCGCTACAGCTGCCCCGTGTGTTCCGACGGCCAGTACCGTCGGGGCAGTCCGCTTTGTCTGGCGTGATAGCAGGTACAGTGCCGTACGATCTGGGTTTTCCGCGCAAAACCCTCAAACTGACTAGTTTCCCTCGCATGCTTAGATTGTATTACGATTGTACGATCACTGTACGATTACTGTACGAGAACTTCCGACTCTACACGGGATTACTATGCGAGGCCATTATGCGAGACAGCAAGTGTAAAACCGGCGGAGGGATAATTGGCGCTTCGGACATCACCAGTTGGTGCTTTGGAGCTCAACCGTTACACCACTTACCAGAATTCTGTCTCCCCCTTCTTTTCTTCCTCATATTCTCCTTCCCTTCCTTCTTCAGAGGGTATGAGCACTTCCAGGGCCGCGGTCACGACTGGTCGTTAAAAAATAACCGTCGAATCTGGTACACGGCGGCTGCGATGGCCGCGACGGGGCTGTCGTACTACTTGTACTGCTTGGAAAAGGTGCCGTACACCGGCCGTCTCCACTCCATCATGCTGGTCAGTCAGCGCCAGGAGCAGTGGATGGGGAAAGTGGGTTTCGAGCAGGTGCGGTACGGCAGCCGAGGGGGAGAGGAGGGGTTTTGTGGGGGGAAAGGTTGGGACGTTGCAACCTGGGGATGGGGGGGGGAAATGCGGCCGACACACACAGACACACACGTCCTCCTCCTCCTCCAACATTTTACAGTAATCCAGTGTTTACCTGTGCTGTACGGCGTAGCCCTGGCGATTCCCACATCTTACTACCTCGTGCCGGTCGCCTCCCCACGTACCGATCATAGATGCCGATGCTGCCCAGATAAGCCGACATGGGCCCCCCCTCTCTCTCTCACTCTTTTTCGCCGCCTCTACACCACCTACCTTTACTTCTTTACGGCTTCGTTCCACTATTTTTCTTCCGCGCTTACTTTAGCCTTGGCGGCTAGGTAGGTAGGTAGGTTTCCGCGGTTGTCATCATTACATCATCCCGAGGTCGCCGCCTTCACGGACGCCTTTTGGTCAGTTCTGCTCCTGGTACACTCTTGCCCTGGCAGCAGCTTCACTCGTTTGTGGTTCGTCTTTCCCTCTCTCCCTCTTTCTCTTGCACACATACATACATACATACATACATACATACATACATACATACATACACGCAGTTCAAGGCGATAGCCCGCGCCGAGCACAAGCTGCTTCCCGACAACCACCCCGACGTGGAGCGAGTTCGTACATTGGGTACGGCCATCGCCCGCGTGGCCGCCAACAGCGGCAGTAGCAGCAGCAGCGGCAGCAGCAGCAGTAGCGGCGGCGGGTCGGTGGGCCACATGACCGGATTGCAGTGGGAGTTTGCCGTGATACGGGACAACATGGTCAACGCGGCAGTGCTCCCAGGGGGGAAGGTACGGAGATGTACGGCACGGAATGGCCGCGGATAAGCTTTGAGTTGTGGGTAGCGTACGGCATGTCGCGGCACCACAAGGACATCACATCCGTACAATCCCCCGGGGTCCATGGACGGTTAGTTGCTACTGCTGCTGGTGCTACTGGTGCTGATACTGGTGCTGGTCTACTGGTACTGATACTGCTGCAACAGCACTGGCACTTGCCCCCCTTTCCTGCCGCTGCCCAACCTCGATCTCAACCTCCCCGTCCCTCCCCCTCCGCCACACCCTCCCTGCCTAGGTGATCGTATTCAGCGGTTTGCTGAGGCTGCTGGACTCGAGCGATGCCGAGTTGGCAGCTGTGCTGGCTCACGAGGTCGGTCATGTGCTGGCTAGGCACCCGGTAAGTGGGGCCGTGGGGCCGTGTGTGTGTGGGTTGTGTGTGGGGAGGAGGTGTATGTGGAGAAGTAGGGGTGCAAGGGTGTGTTAGGGGTCCGGGGGGTGGGTGGGGAGGAAAGCGTGGCTTACAGTCCAGTACTGCCCACGTCGCGCAGGGGCATCTGTCCCCGTGTTCCTGACGGTGGTGGTGGCGGTGGTGGCCGCTGCTGCGTTGTCGCCGCCTCCCCTGCAGGCCGAGAACCTGAGCAGGCTCAACGTTTGGCTGCTGTTCAACACGGCGCTGCGACTGACGCTCGGGTTCGCGCTGCCGGACGTGGCCATGTACCTGGCGCTCATGCTGCCGAACTCCAGGTCCGTACTCCGTACATTCGTCGTACGGAACTTGGTTATCCCGTATTTTGTACATTTGTTGTGCGGAACGTGTGTATGGAGATTGTTATTCACGCGTCGTGTCGTGTCGTGTGTGTGTATTGAGGTGGGGACGTGGGTTGGGTTTGGGTTTGGTAATTTGGGAGCCCCCGCGGGATTGGATCAGGTGTAGAACCGTACGGCAGCCGATTTGTTTGCCCGTTACTCGCCGCACCAGCACGTGATTGTTTTTTTCCAATCGCAACCTCACCACAAAATTTTCACCAACACCCGTGTAGTAACACCGTTGACGCCTCTGCTCGTCCAAAATCGCCGTCGTACTGTACCGCAGGAGAAACGAGCACGAGGCTGATGTCATCGGTCTGCATCTCATGGCCCAAGCGTGTTTCGACCCCTCCGCCGCCATTGCCATGCTGGAGAAGCTCAACCAGGCAGAGAAAGCGACGAAACAGGTACGGCAGTACGGTGTACGGGTATTCCATGGAAAGTACGGAACATCACACATGCCATTGGTCTATATGTGATCCAGACGAAGAACCCCTAAACCTGGATAATAATTCCACTCATGCACATCCCATTCCGCGATACATACATACATACGTACATACCAAGACATACATACATACATACATTTCCGCATCTCGCGACTGCCGTACAGGGCCATACCATGGGCACCTCCCTCCCCCCTTTCCTAAGCACCCACCCCCTCACAACCGACCGAGTAACCCACCTGGAGAGTCAGCTGCCGGCGGCGATGACGCTGTTTTATGCGTCAGGTGGGTGCCGTACAGGCCATGGGTATATACAGCATGCGCCGTAATGTACGGCGGTTTACGTACATGTACGGCCGCAGGGTAATGATTTTACCGATGATGCATGTAAATTGCCGTATTATACACGCCGGGCACATCTTGCTCTCGGAGGGCTCTTCATCACATCCACTTCCCACCGCTTATTGGCCTTCACCACCACCACCACCACCGCCGCTTTCGCTGTCTGTTGTAAAATTGTCTGTTGTAGAACTGACCTTCCGATGCTACCTTACGGAGTATTGCGCTTCATCACTGTCACGCAACAGCTCGCAGGATACTCACTATCAACTCACTATCATATCCCGGTTTCGTGCCTTTTCTCACGCAGGTTGCGGTGCGAGACTAGATGACTTCAGTCGCGGCGTGGACGGTCTGATGTCGGATGGCCGCATTGTCAGATGGCCCTAACACTACCCCGCAGGGCCCCTAACATTACCCCGTGCCGCACGTGCAGCCCACATGG